AAAAAAAAAAAAAAAAAAAAAAAAAAAAAAAAAAATAGTTTTAGGGCAAATCATTTCAGCCTCCCCAATCGCCTCCATCTCTATTCTCATTCTCAACTCTGAGCTTGCCCTGCACTCGGAAAAAGAATGATGCTTGTTCAGAGGGATGGGATGTTTCTAAGGGTGGTTGCGCCTCTCTGTAAACGATGATCTCCTACAAAATAAGGGATGGGAGATCATCTAGAGCCAATGATTTCATTTCCTACAGAATCAGCAGCCCTCTGTGTATGCGTATATATATATATATATATTTTGATTAGTCTTTGTCTATGTATATATATATATAAATATTCTTTATTGATACAAGAATCAATTTCCTCAAATATATACATGAAAATCTCCAAATAAATTTAAAATCAATCCGCAACACCAACTCTTCCATCTAAGCCCAAAACTAGCAATCCAAGTTCATCCTCAGTACCTGAAACTGGAAGGGAGTGAGACGGGGGAAGTCCCAGCAGGAAAAACCATAATAAGAATTTCGAGGTTTCATGAAAATTAGCTTCACAAAATATAGATATGCTTTTGAACAAAAATACATATATGCAATTTTAATATATATATATATATATTTGTGTGTGCGCGCGCTGTGGACTGGTGCATCTCCAATCCTCCTCCTTCCATCATCATCATCAGCAATCATCTATAATCATTATAAGAGGCTGTGATGATATATGTTCTGAGTGGATCATACTGGCATTGAGAATCGGATCCGTTTGTTGGCGAGGCAAACTAGAGGGTCTGTGGGAGAGAGATTTGGTTCTTCTCTCACAGGCAACTGTTGTTGCAGCCAGGGCAGTGGGATATACTCTTGCCCTGATCAAAAGCAGATCTGAGCCTCAATTGTAAGTTATGAATTATGTATCTATAAATAAACCTTTGAGCCTCAATTGTAAGTGTATTTTATTGAAAATAAAAATAAAAATAAAAAAAACTCTGAACTTGCCATCCCTCTCTCTCTGCAACTGCAAACTGCAAAATCTACAAGAATCAGAAGTTCAAAACCCATATATTTCAGTTTATCTATCTGTCTGCAAGAATCAAAAGTTCAAAACCCATATCCTATTTGATGAGGCTTGTTAAGAGGGATGGGATGTTTCTAAGGGTGGTTGCCCCTCTCTATAAACGATGATATCCTACAAAATAAGGGATGGGCGATCATCTAGAGCCAATGATTTCATTTCCTACTGAATCAACAGCCCTTTGTGTATGTATATATATGTATATATATTTTTGATAAGTCTTTGTGTATGTGTATATATATATATATATATATATATATATATAAATATCCTTCATTGATACAAAAATCAATTTCCTTAAATATATACACGAAAATCTCCAAATAAATTTAAAATAAATCCGTAACACCAACTCTTCCATCTAAGCCCGGAACTAGCAATCCAAGTTCATCCTCGGTACTTGAAACTGAGGGAAGTCCTAGTTGGAAAAACCATAACAAGAATTACTAGGAGGTCTCATGAAAATTAGCTTCACAGAATATAGATATGCTTTTGAACAAAAATACATATATGCAATTTTAATATATATATATATATTTGTGTGTGTGCGTGCGCTCTGTGGACTGGTGCATCTCCAATCCTTCTTCCATCATCATCATCAATCATCAATCATCATTATAAGAGGCTGTGATGATATATGTTCTGAGTTGATCATACTGGCATTGAGAATCGGATCCGTTTGTTGGCAGGGCAAACCAGAGGGTCTGTTGGAGAGAGATTTGGTTCTTCTCTCACAGGCAACTGTTGTTGCAGCCAGGGCGGTGGGATATACTCTTGCCCTGATCAAAAGCATATCCGAGCCTCAATTGTAAGTTATGAATTATGTATCCATAAATAAATCCGAGCCTCAATTGTAAGTGTATTTTATTGAAAAATTCCAAAAAAAAAAAAAAAAAAAAATTCTCTGAACTTGCCCTCTCTCTCGCTCTGCAACTGCAAACAACAAAATCTACAAGAATCAGAAGTTCAAAACCCATATATTTCAGTTTATCTATCTGTCTGCAAGAATCAAAAGCTCGAAACCCATATCCTATTTGGTGAGGCTCGTTCAGAGGGATGGGATGTTTCTAAGGGTGGTTGCCCCTCTCTGTAAATGATGATCTACAAAATAAGGGATGGGAGATCATCTAGAGCCAATGATTTCATTTCCTACAGAATCAACAGCCCTTTGTGTATGTGTATATATATATATATATATATATATTTTTTTTTTTTTGATAAGTCTTTGTGTATGTATGTGTATATATATATATATATTTGTGTGTGCGCGCGTGCGCTGTGGACTGTGGACTGGTGCATCTCCAATCCTCCTTCTTCCATCATCATCATCGTCAATCCTCAATAATCATTAGAAGAGGCTGTGATGATATATGTTCTGAGTGGATCATACTGGCATTGAGAATAGGATCCTTTTGTTGGAGGGGCAAACCAGAGGGTCTGTGGGAGAGAGATTTGGTTCTTCTCTCACAGGCAACTGTTGTTGCAGCCAGGGTGGTGGGATATACTCTTGCCCTGATCAAAAGCAGATCTGAGCCTCAATTGTAGTCAAGTGTATTTTATTGAAAATTTTCAAAAAAAAAAAAACTCTAAACTTGCCCCCCCTCTCTCTCTGCAACTGCAAACTACAAAATATCAGAAGTTCAAAACCCATATATTTCAGTTTATCTATCTGTTAAATTAGGGTAAGTGGGGTGGCTGAGAGCAGATCTGAAATGGGGAATGATGTTTTCCGAAAATTTATGGGGATTGTTGGGCAGTGAAGCATTATATCCATATATGTTGTAATTGTTTGCTTCCCTACTCCACCCATTCCTATGGTTTTCGGTGCTTCCTTTTTTCTTATTCAGCTTCATCATCTCTTTTACACACACTCAAACACACACGTATATGTATGTATGTATATATTGTTTATCTGTGTTTGGTGAGGCTTTTTCCTTGGAAACGAAGAAACAATCAAGCTTTCTGCTATTTGGAAAATCTGGGCTATTAGAAATGAAGCTTTGCACAAGGGAGTTCAAGATCAAGCTACACAGTTGCACAAGTTATTGTTTGGGAGGTTCTGTCATACCTCTAGATTCGATTGGAAGATTTACTACTAATTTTTTAATGCTGCGGTTTTCTCTGGTCTTCTTGACAGTTTGGTGTTGCTGGGAATTGTTTCAGTTTGTGTGTGCCTGTTGCAGAGCTGATTCTGGTGTCTAGTTCTGAATCAAATGGAATTTCTTCAGGTCTCTCTGGAGTTTTGTTTCAACACAATGGGATGGTTTATTGAATTTACAGATCAGAAAATTTTTATGCTGAGCGGGCTTTTATTTGGGATTAGTTTCTGAATATTATCTTTGTTTTCTTTTGTTTTTTTCTTTCTGGTTATTCTAGTCAAGTTTGAAAAAGGCCTCCCCAATTGCCTCCATCTCTATTGTCGTTCTTAACTCTCTCTCTCTCTCTCTCTCCAACTGCAATAAACAAGAATCAGAAGTTCAAAACCCATATATTTCAGTATATTTATCTGTCTACAAGAATCAAAAGTTGAAAACCTATTACCTATATCAAAACCCTTATCGGCATATCATTTCAGATGGTTCAAAAAATCAAAACCCATATCTTTCAGTTTCCATCGCCCGCTGTTCCAGTTCGGGTTTGCCTTTCGCAAGCTTCAGCCGCTGTCTCTCAACTCTCAAGCTCTCTCTCTCTCTGCAACTGCAAACTTGTATGTATTGGTTTTGTTTTAATTTATTTTTTTTCTAAATCAACTAATCAAGCTATGCAATTGTTGTTTTGCAAACTAAATCCTATTTGGTGAAATTTTTTATCATCTTTTTTATATAATTTTTTTTTTTTTTTTTACAATACAAAGTAACAAAATTTGCATTGCATTTTGAGGTAAACATCGTAATCTACATTTTATTTCAGCAAAACAATTTTTTTTTTTGTTTTTTATTTCTGTAACTTCTATTTGTGTTTTTTTCTGGGCATGAAAAAATAATAAAAAAAGAATCTGAATTGGATTAGAAATATGCAGAGACTGAATCTGAAACAATTTTAATCAACATGCCAAGCTGTTTGAAGACTGGAAAACATTTCAGAACGTAAAAACGAAAATCATAACAAGAACTTTGACAAGCCAGAGTACTTAATATAGGGTAAAGCTCTAAAGTTACTTCTTGAAAATTAAATTACTTACAAAAATCATGCCTTTGAGTGAATTACATAGTGTTGGAAGGGGGCTTGCCATGAACTACCTCACACGGAAGAGTTAGGGTACTAAGTGGTGAATTGTTCAGACATAAATTGGTAATTTTTTTTAATTAATTACCCAAATAGGATTTAGTTTGCAAACCATATGATTATGGCACATATTTGAGGAGTCCAGAGGTCATTTATATTTCATAGGGATCAGGAGGGAGTATGGAAGGACATACGGGCTTGTCACCATGGATAAGAACTGGGATTGTCTTGTGCACAGAGTTGGATTTTGGAACTTAAGTTCTCTTCAAGGTATTCATTCTCGACAGACTTTATGCTGAGAGCGAGTTGAACTCGTAATGCATATGGGCTTGGCAGCGCTCCCAGGAGCTTTACATCGCTTGTCGCCATGGCCAATTCTCAAGCAACAAAAGCTTAAAATGCTGAAAACCACAGTATAGGTTGTTTGGGCGGCTGGAACAAGATTTCTTGGTACATATGAGTATTGTTTGTCTTGATGTAGGTGTTTTATGTGTGACTTAGTCTTAAAGAGGAACATAAGCAGAGGCAAAGAAAAGGACCATAAACATTCAGTGAGACAAATTTGGTAACTTCACACAAGCATCATTCTAATACCACTGCGTTACAAGGAGGCACAGAGGCATTAGATGCTACATTTGAATAAAAAGCAAAAAGGAAAAACAAGAACATATATCAAAGACCAAAAGGTTGCTCAAGTTATTATTACCAAGCGATTGGATCATAGACATAGGCAATGTCAATTGGAAGTAGTAGCGTTTGCTCTGGCTTCGTTGATTGTCTCAATAAGCTTCTCAGGCTCTAGAAAGACATCTTTCACTGCACCATCTGAGCAGAACCTCTCAGCCCATTCCATCAGACGCGGTGTCTTGATCTCTAGCAGAGACGCGGTTCCCAAATACTTTGGTATCATCAGCCAACCCAAGAAGCTCCCAAATGCTATGTCAAGATACCCAATACTATCCCCACCAAAGAAAGCCTTCCCCTTGCTACACTTGACAAATGCCTCCTCCAGCATCACCAGTCCTGCAACCACTTGCTCTGTTGCCGCAGCTTTTGCTTCCTCTTCTTGTCCCTTCCAAGTCTCCATCAATAATGGAAACCACTGCAACCATTTCAATTACATCATAAATTCGTTACAATAAGATTCATGATTTACAACACAGAAATTTTTATATAGAGAATTCACTAAAATGGCATGCCACTAGCTCAGTAAAGAAACTCTTCAATTCAGAAAGCTATGGAAACTGAATTTTTATGTAGAGATTCTTTAATGGGGAAAACAAAATATTTAGAGATTTGTATACAACAAGATGACTGTCAGCACATCTTATGATTCCAAAAATGTCCTTACCATAATATTCATTATCAAGAAATTCAGGTTTTATAAATAGGTGCATAAATCATACCTTGTCATCGATGTAGGCAGCCCAGAAGCGAGCAATGGCGCGATCATATGGATCCGAAGGGAGGATGGAGGGACCTGAGCTCCATACCTCATCAATGTATTGGACAATGATGAGAGACTCACAAATGGGCTTGTCACCGTGTATAAGAACTGGGATTTTCTTGTTGGCAGGATTGGATTCAAGGAGGAGCTCACTCTTGGAACGGAGGTTCTCTCCGAGGAACTCATATTTGACAGACTTTATGTTGAGAGCTATTTGAACCCGATTCACAAATAGGCTTGGCCGTGTCCCGAGAAGCTTCACATCAGTCGTTGTCGTTGCCATGGCAATTCTCAAGCAACAGAGGCTTTAGATTTTGAAAACTGAGCTATGTGTTGGTATGAATTGAGGACTGAAGCAAGAGTGAGTCTGGTGTGTATTGATGTAGGAAGGTAGGTGACAACATGTAGGCCGGCTCAGGCAAAAATTATTTATTAGAAAGTTCCTATCATCAACCTTAAAATATCTGGAAAACTTCATTTAAAGTTATCCCAATCTAATACACAAATCATTTTTGTTGTCAACTTCAAATGTTCTTGTTACCCTCTGATAATATTTTGGAGAATTTTCAAATGCAATACTTTCTTGTAAAAATGGGAGGCTTCGATAACAGTTATACCAATATTGAGTGAATAAATTATTTAAAAGCGGTGAATTGACTACAAAGAAAACAAACGAAGGCAAAGAAAGGGACCACAACAATCTTATAACTAGTTTAGAATTACAATAACATAATCAATGGCATTTCTAAAGATAATGAGCAGTTATATAACCTATAAATTATGAATACCAAATAGTGGAAGGATCGATATATATAAAATGAACAGAATGAACAGCAGATAAAAACAATAAAAGACAATAACTTTAAACAGCACATAATAACTTTTAAATACTTATAGAAAACTTCCTTCTTTATTGAGACTTCAAAATAAAGTACTACAAAAGAGAGAAAAGAAAACTGAAAGATACATTGAGGGAAAACATTGCCCTCTATTTATACATAAATTTAGACTTGAAATTTTAAATTTGAAATCCGCATAGTGGCTGGATGGCGTGTGCTTGAATAATGCAGTCGGATGGTCCGCCACTAAGTTCTGTCTTCTTGTCTGATAGGAATGATCAACCTTAAACAAGAAATAGTTCTGTAGAAATAAAGACTTTTATAAAAAAATACTTTGTCATCTTCTGTCGGTAGAATAAGAGAGAATCTCTACTTTTTGGGAGTTTTCATTTTTTCTTTCAAGTGGCTGGTTAAAGAATCCCAATAATCTTCAGCAGAGGGGTCCTCATCCTGGATAAGATCTTCATTAGGATCTTGTGCTTCGCCATCTAGACAGGAATACTGAGTACCATCTTGGCTGGATACTGAGACCATGGATATGTCATCCGTGACTGTGGACGGAGAAGAACCAAAACTATTAACAAATTTAGTCTTCATGAAATCCATGCATTTAACCATTAAATCGGTTTCAGTAATTAATGGTTGTTGCTTTCTGATCATATCTTTAATCATTTCAAAGGGATTAAAGATATCAGTGGCATTTGGAAACTGTGTTAAGGATAACTTTGGAATAGCATCCTGATACTCCATTGTCTTCTGTTTAATGAGGTTCAAGAGAGATGTCAGAGACGGCTCTTGAGACATGCTAGCCCACCACCTGTAATAAAAAATTCTTTCCAAGATGGGCAGTTGATCAGAATTATAACTGCATTGGAAATCCCATCTCCAAATCCAAGGGATTCCAAATTCTGTAAAGAATAAGAGGGTGGATTTGCCCGCAGGGATATGATCCTGTCCTCTGAGATGAGGATGGAACTGCTGCCATGGGAGGAATAAGTGCCTCACCTGTTCTGGTAAAATATCCAGATCTGGACCAAATATAGCCCACCAAGGAATAGCCCAATTTGGGAAATCAACCTTAAAAGATTGAGGACATATCTTGAAAAACCAAGTATGTTTATGTGTTGGATTCTAATAAAAGAACGAATATGTCCAGGCTGAGATATAATCCCAGTAATTATAATTATGTCCGAAAGCAAGTTTTCTGGATAAATTAGGATTTAATTCCCAGTCAAAAGGCTTATAAAGCTTTTTAAAGATAGCTTTACTATAAGTAAGAGGACTATCTTTGGAATTCGGAAATTTCTTTGTGTGGGTAAATTCCACAGAGGAAGTTTCAGTAAGCATGGCTTCATAGACATATCTATGACGACCATCTGGTACTGCATATTGTTGTGTTTGGAAATATCTGGTTTTTATTTCCCAAGGATCTGGCATCCATTGTTCATCTTGAGGATCCAGAACCAATACTGTTTGAATATACCTTTAATTAGGTATCCACGGGGTTTCTGTAATAAGAACCTCTTTCATGGTTTTCTTCTGTGAGCTTTCTCCTGGAGTAGGAGTCCGAAGCAAATCAGAGAGATGCTCCAAAGCTAGATACTGATCTTCAGTGAGTGGTATAACCACTTTGGCTTTTGCCCTGCCTTTGCCACAGCCTTTTGTGGTATTACCACGGCCTTGCCCATGATGGGGCTGATTCATGAACCCTGTAGATATTCTCGGGTTAAGAAATTAGGTAAAGAATTAGAACTGCCTTTAATATATTCAATTGAAAAATCAAAAACAGATAAATCAGCTTGTCAACCAACAAATATCTGTTTGGAAACTAAATTTTTAACATCTTTTTCCAGCACTTGTTTAGCAGTACTGCAATCAATGCGTAACAAAAATTTCTGATTGATTAAATCATCTTGGAATTTATAAATGCATTTAACTAAAGAAAGAATTTCCTTCTTAATAGTAGAATAATTTAACTGTGCATTTTTCCAAGATCCTGAAGTGAAGAGAACAAGCTCCTCTGTTCCTGTTTCTGGATTCTTTTGTTTAAGAATACCACCATATCCAATATTGGATGCATCTGTCTCAACAATTTTAAACCATGAAGAATTTGCTAAGGCTAAGCAAGGAATCTGTTTAGCACGAAGTTTAATCTTCTGAACGGCTTTTATATGTTCTTCAGTCCAAGGGGAAGGTGACTTCCTGAGCCATGTATATAAAATTGTTGTATCCTATGCAAGATTCTTGTAATGGTTACGAATATATTTCAAACTCCCAAGAAATCTTTGCAATTGAGTTTTTTCTTTAATTTCATCAGGGAATTTAAAGGCAAACTCAATACTTCTGTCAATGGGTTTGATTTTACCATCACAAATTTCATGCCCAAGAAATCTTACTTGAGTGAGGAAAATTTTTAGTTTAGGAGCAGATACTACTAAACCACTTTTGTAAATAACATCTTTGAAAATTTTCAAATGTTTATAATGTTGATCTATTGATTTTGAAAATATTAAAATATCATCAATATAAACAATAGAAAATTCAGTATAAGGATTAAAAATGTCATTCAAAATATGTTGAAATTCTGAAGGGGCATTTTTTAAACCAAAAGGCATTACTGTCCATTCATACTGTCCAAAGGGTACACAAAAAGCAGTTTTATATCTGTCTTCATCTGCAATCTGTACCTGGTAATATCCTGATTTAAGATCAAATTTAGAAAATATTACAGCAGATTGTAATCTATCTAACAGATCTTTAATGTTGGGAATTGGGTATCGAATTCAGCTTAAAGCAAGGTTGAGGGGACAATAATCAATGACCAATCGAGGAATTCCTCGTTCTTTTTCAGAGTTTTTATTGACATAAAAAGCTCTGCAACTCCATGGGGAGTAACTTGCTATAACTAGCTTTTTTTTCATCAAAGAGCTAATTTCAGTTTTGCACAATTCTAAATAGTCAACCTAGGACTAGCTTTGGAAGGGATCATTAGATTGGTAAATCCTTTTTCATAAGGCAAAGAAACAATATGCTTCTTTCTGTCCCAAAAAGCATTAGGCACTTCACTACAGATATCCTTTAGAAAACTTTGTCGTATTGACTCAATTTTCTGTTGCTCAATGGGATGGACCAATCTTTGATGGATTGCTAAGGAACATACTTCCTTTTACAAATAATTCAGTTGCTTTTCTTTAAAGATAATGCTATCTTTAAGAGCATTGATATGCTTATATACAGGTTTGGTCAAAAATTCAAAAGTGATTAACTGACCCTGTAAGGTTGAGCATATTCCATGAGAATCAATCTTCTCAATTGGCATAATTAAGGCTAAAAAGGAAGTGCCCAAAATAACCTGTTATGCCATGTTTTTAATAAGTAAAAAGGTAGATGGTAGACAAATACCTTGTTTACAGATAAAAACGTGATTAAGCTTATACTTAATCTGCATCTTACCACCACTTGCACTGGTAAGACCTTGAGTGGTTTTCTCAAAATATTGAGTAGGGACCAATCCTTCTTCAATACAGTTCATGTCTGCACCACTATCAACCAAAGCAATAGCATTATTGATAAGATATTCCTGATTGATAACCAAATTAATGGAGATATACCATTTTTGGTAAGTGACCTGATTCAAAAGATTAAGATATTCTTTATCTTTAGGCACTTCAATCTGTGAAGACAAAGATTCTGTAGTAGCATGATTAACCTTTTCTTTTAAAAGTTTAATTTCCAAATCCATATTGGTTTGATGGATCTTTAATTGGCGAATTTCAGCTTTTAAATTGTTAACCTCCATCCTTAAATCTGGAAGACTAGCAGGACGAGAGTTCTGGCTTTGATGTTCTAATCTGTTTAGAACTTCTTTCATGCTATAATGATTCTCAGATATTATAAAGTCTGGATTATCATTATCTTCTTGAGGCTGTGCAATAGCATAACCTATTTCAAAGATCTTCATTTTTATCTGAGGATCTTGAACTTGATCTATAAGATCTAACAAGGATTGTTGATGAGCAGTTAAGACATTTAAACTTAGCCCATTCATTTTAACTATAGCCTTGTAATAGTCATTCTTCTGGTGACAGGAACATTCTGGATTACTATTTTCTTCTTCGGAGGAAGACGAAGATTGTAATTCCATGAGTTCTTCAGACTCAGAAGATCCATTTTCGAAAGAACTAGTATTAAGTAGTAATTTGCTTAATTGGAGTGTTAACTCTTCACTTATGGGAAGATTGTTAAGCTTCTCCTTATTTCTGCACTTATTTGCATAGTGGCCTACCCGTCCACATTTGAAACACTTAGCCTCTGTTTTGGGTTTTCCTTTACCCTTTGCTTTTGGATAGGTTTTCCTTTTTGGCTTAGTGTACTGTTTTGAAGTATCAACCTTTTGTTGATGTTTCCTTCGGGAATATTTCCTTTTATAAGGTTTGTCAACCTTATGTCTTTTCCTAACTTTAGGATAAGATA